CTCCACTCCAAGAGGGTGTGAGTGCTCTGCTGGGAGGCGGTGTTGGTGGCAGCGTCTGGCAACAGTATACTGCGGGTGCCTCCCTCTACACTCTCCTCCACTAAATACAACAATAACAACACTAGGGAGTTTATTTCTAAGATATATGTGAATATAAAGTGTACGTGTTATAAAAACACTTTCCAGGCTGCTTAACTTTTATCCTCTTCACCACTGATCGACTCGTTAGCCGCTTGGGCGATCGGTCACGTCTCTGTCACTCACTGTTGGCAAGTACTGGCCATGCACCGGCTCCTGAATGTACCTGAACCTGCTCCAGTGTTGGTCAAGTCTGGTCTTGAAAGAGCTCACACTCGGTGCCGTCACAACACTTTCTGGTAGATTGTTCCAAGAGTTCACAACTCTCACTCCGAAATAGTTTGCCCTCACAGTTTTCTGGACTTGCGGCTTCTTCAATCTTGAGCTGTGACCCCTTGTGGGGCGAGCGTCCGCCAGCTCCAAGTAAGGGCACTCGACTGAGTAGTGCCCCCTGAGATGCTTATACACCTCAATTAGGTCGCCCCTTGCCCGTCTGTAGTATAAGCTAGGCAAGTTCAGGCACTCCAATCTCTCAGGGTAGCTGAGGTGCCGAAATGCAGGCACCAGTCTGGTGGCCCTCCTTTGGACATTTTCAACCAAATGACAGTCCCTAGTATATCTCGGGGACCAGACGGGGTGACAGTACTCCAGATGGGGAAGCACTTCACTCTTGAAGATCGTTACGAGGGACGGACCGTCTAGATATCTGAACGACCTTCTTATAAGACCCAATAATTTATTTGCCTGATTTACCTTCTTCTCGCAATGGGCCGAGAACTTCAGCTCATTGTCAACATACACACCTAGGTCCTTCTCACATTCAGTCTCAAATAGTGCAGGGTGAAAGAGGCGATTGCAAGCCATAAGGGAACGAGTTCTCTAGGGACGAAAATAGATGAAGCTGGAGCCTTGCTGGTTCCCAAACTGGAGCAAGTTGGGAAAGAGATCCTTGCTAAGACTGAGGAAGTAGCCGATAGAATGGAGGTGGTTGCTAAGAGGAGTTATGCTGACATATTAGCAGGGCCACGGGAGGGGGCGGGGAGTAATGCAGGATCAGAACAGGTTCTACAGCAGCGAGGGACTCTGAAGAAGTGTGTCGAAGAAATGACAATTAATGGACCTACTGTTAGGGGAGAGGAGGAACAACGGGAACGTTTCCAGCGCAGGAACAATGTAATAGTGTTTGGAGTCCCCGAGAGCCAGGCGGAGGGAACCGAGAGTAAGGTAACACACGATAAGATGTAGTTTAAGAATAGATAGACAGTCACAGATAAAAAGTGCTTATCAGTCAAGATTTGTGGTAAAATTTACAACTACAGGGTGTACTGTACTGATGGGGATAAACTGGACACAAAACTTTGCGAGATACTTGTACATATATACAACAGATGAATTGTATTGTGGATAAGCTAAAGTCCTGCACTGTACATCAAATTATCTGGATTTTTTAAACTTAATGGGAAAATTCAGATTTTTTGTATACCCGAGTCATTGTTATTTATCCAGGTTCAGTATCGAAGAAATTTTGGCAAATGATAATTCAAAGAGTGTCTAGACACAAGCCCTTTCAAATTATCATTATTTTTTTTTAAATACAAGCACAACAGACTACTACTGTACCTGGACGCCAGAGAATAACACAGTGGGCCAGTCTATATATAGTCTCAACCTCACAACACCATCACAATTTTCCTTATTATTGTATTACACTTTGGTATACAGTACATTAACCACTCATTTGGGGGTTAGAAGTGTGTTTGTGAGTGGTACTGAGGGAAACATGCAATGCACAGTGGAACTTTGCATTCAGCACACATCCAAGTTGTAAGTTTCTTTTTCTGAGGTCGTTTTGTCGTAGCAGAACACACCCTGCAGCGACGCTGACCCTTGACTCTGTGTTTCCTTGTACTCCCTGGTACTTCTGGAGGTGGTATCGCCCCATCGCCCCTAACTTCATCCCTCTCTAAGATTTTCGAAACTATCTTGAACTCCCATTTTCTCCGTCACCTTGAACGCCTTTCTCTTTTGTCGGATCACCAGTATGGCTTTCGCCAGGCGAGATCTACTGGTGATCTGCTCTCCTATTTCACCCATCTTTGGTCATCCTCTCTTACGGATTATGGGGAAACCTTCGTCGTGGCCCTCGACACCTCCAAAGCATTTGACAGGGTATGGCACAAGTCTTTGCTATCTAAACTTCCCTCTTTTGGTTTTTCTCCCCCACTTTATTTTCAAATTTCTAGCTTCCTTGAGAAACGATCCATGGCAGTTCTTGTCGAGGGATCGATCTCTCGCTCTTTCTCTACCAATAGTGGTGGCCCACAGGGATCTGTTCTCACACCTACTCTCTTTCCTCTTTTTATCAATGATTTACTTCACACTACTGCTAATTCTATCCATTCTTACGCTGATGATTCTACTCTTCACTCTTCTTCACATTTTCCCCTTCCTCCTAACTCTCAAACTAGATATGTTTCCAGAACTGATATCATTACTTCTATCAATGCGGATCTGTGCAGCATCTCTGAATGGGGAGGTACAAACTTGATTAAATTGAATAGTACTAAAACTCAATATTTACCTATTACACTTTGTAAATTAGACGATCTCCCACCAATTACATTTCAGGACTCTATCATCCTACCAAATTCTGAAATAAATATGTTAGGCCTCACCGTTTCCTCCAATATGTCCTGGAAATCACACATCCTTAATATAGCTAAAGCTGCCTCCCGAAAGTTGAGAATGCTGTACAGATGCCGTAGCTACTTCACTCCTGAGCAGTTGCTCCAAGTATATAAGGGATTCATTCGTCCTAACTTGGAGTACTGCTCTCATATCTGGGTTGGCTCTTCTTCTGTCCAACTGTTAGATAGGGTGGAATCAAAGGCATTTCGTCTTATTAACTCTCCTCCTTTAGTTTATTACCTTTCTTCCCTTTCTCTTCGCCGCAATGTTGCTTCACTCTCTCTCTTTTACAGGTACTTTAACGGGCAATGTTCAGTGTATTTGGCATCCTGTGTACCGCCGGCAAGGCCGTGGGCTCGTGACACTCGTCTTGCCCGCGGTGCCCACCGTTTCTCTGTGGATGTCGGTCACACTAGAATAACCCGTTATAGTACCTCCTTCTTTCCTCACACAGCCAAGCTGTGGAATGCTCTGCCTTCTTCTGTGTTTCCATACTTATACAATGTCTCACTTTTAAAAGCTGGTTTTCCGGCATCTTCGTGGTGTAGAATAGCACAGTACATGGTATAACCTTTTTCTTTTCTATATTCAATTTCTTTCTGTTCTTATTTTTTCGTCTCCCAGGCCCCGTTGTGGGTCGTTTGACCTGTGGCCGAGTGGACTAATTCCCAAAACCTTAATTGTGATCATGCCATCCGTAAACGTTGACACAATTCCATGAAATAGAGTTAAAGCACCGCAGCCCAGCCAGCAGCCCGAGCCTCTCAACCAAGTGAATGGGGTCCAGTGCTGTCAATGTTTCCCCGAGCAGCAGCTGGAGCAATAAGTGTGGGATGCAAATTTTCCTAAAGCATTACCTGGAGCACCCGAGGAGTGTGTGATATACTTCCCAAGAGGATAAGATAAAGTAAAGTACACTAAAGTAAATTAATTTCGGTCCCCCATGTATACATGGGGTTCAAAATGCTCAGAATAGCGAGATCTAAATGTACCTGCAGTAGTTAATTCAGTAGAAATTAACCTTTTCTATAGAAATTTTAATAAAAGATTCACCTAATGGAACTTTAGTCAGTTTATGCAAGGTAAATTTTTCGTTGCAGATTATTAGCAAAAAATATAAGAATAAATGAATTTTAGGGTTATTAGGAACCCTTGCCTAGTTATATTGGGTTGGTTAGCTAAGGATATTGTTAAGTTAGGTAGATAAGGTTAGGTTAAGCTGGGATAAATTAAGTTCAGTGGGTTAGGTTAGAATAGGATATGTTAAATTTGATAGGTAAGGTTAGGTTTGATTAGGATAATTTAGGTTTGGTCACAATAAATTAATTTAAATGCAGTTAGGTTATATTAGATTATATTATAACATATCTTAACTAATTGCGAGTTCTTTTTTATGTTTCATAACTCGTATGGTATTTGGGTAACTGCACAATTTGTCAAGTACAATACAACAGCTATGATTTTATGCATAATTACTAAAAGCTCTGCAGGCAGGACACACCAGGAACTGTACTGTAGGTCTAGTTAAGGGAGGTGAGGTCCTACTTAATTTTGGGATCAGCTGGAAAAAGTTTCCGAGTCAATAAAAGGTTTGATAAAGTGACATGATTAATTTAAAAGATCGCCAAGTAATACATTGGTTAAAATAATATAATAGTTTATAATTGAATGGTGTACTGCAGATGAAGACCAGAGGTACTCATGTGGTGGGGTTGAGAATTTAATTAGAATGATGAGGCTTTATTTAGTGAAAGATAAGTCATATAGGTATCTTATGGCAGGTACAAATATATTCCATCAATAAAAGTGTATGTATTACAGCAAATGATCAGGTCTGCTTTTTATGAGGCATTTCTATGGTTTCTTGACAATTTCAGTATTTATTTTTTTTTGTAGGCCCTTTTTTTTTTATTTGATTTTGTCCTTTAGATGGGTACTATCTGTTTCTTTAACCAATAGCTTTCCTTTATCTGGAGGCATTATAGAAACATTTGTCCATCTACTTACCACCACCTGGCAGGGCTGGCCACCATTTTGTGAACTCATTCAGGTTCATCATATCAAGTGTACTGTATTTCTGATGTCTAGTTTTTCCCCATAAGTGACACAGTGTAGTTAGTTACCCAGCTAACATAAGGCATCACTCAATCTGCTCGACTGTATCACATACATGAAGGTGATGGGAAGAATGCTAATTCTAGAGGATAAATTTAAACTTAAGAAAACGCATTTAATTTTTAAGTTTGACACTTTATTAAAAATATTTTTTCGAGTTTTTTTTTATTTTCAACGTTATTACTGTAACAACTGGAAGCTCCTAGAGACAGAGAGCTTATACTTTGTTGAAGGCTGCAACGTCTACGGACTGGACAAAGTCCTCATAGTCTTGAATCTTCTCGGTAAGGTCATCGACCGAGACCTTTGCGTCCTCCACCGTGCACAGGATGCTCAGCTTCATAATACCATACGCCAGAGGATTAAGCTTACCTAGGAGGGAAAGAGAATACATCACACACTGTAAATGGTAACACTTCATACACAGAAGCATTTACTATAACAAATCCCCTTAGTAACAATAATTGTTTTAACTATTATTATTTACTATCACTTCATCCCCCATACACTACCACACTTCTAAAGCCAAGACAAATATTTTCCTATACTAATATCAGAAAGAGGATTCACTTCAAGTCTAAGTCATCAAACAAAACAGACTCCTAATGTGTCCCTAGAGATGGGTGGTCTGGTGTTAGTCATTTTAGTCATGAATTAACGGACCAAGTGATGGTCATGGTGAAGTGGGTATTTTATTTGACATCTGGATCCCACATATAAATTTTACTCATCTAATACCAATTCTAAGCTGATCCAACCCATGTAGTCTCAAACAGATGAGTCCTTGAACTTATTTTTCACATCTAACTATTTACAATGATTAAATGTTCAATGTAGTTTGGTCATTAGTTAATCAAGGAATTAGGTTTCATTATTTTACTACATATTTATAAACCAATTCAGGCCTGACATTAATTGGCATAAATACAATAATAAAAAAATATATATATATACTGTATATATAAATAAATAAAATTATACAATACTTACTAGCACCCCAAACTAGGCCGTCCATGGTGACGGTTCTAACTTTCTTTTCCAATTCCTTCATGTCTGTTTCATCATCCCAGGGCTTGACATCCAACAATATCTGGGACCTCGCAATTGGACCTGGTTTGGCTGCTTTCTTTGCTGCATAAGCCGCCAAGCGCTCCTCCCTTACACGGGCTGCCTCGGCACTCTGAAATAGTTAACGGGTCTCAGAGGACGTTCTCTCAAAATGACTGCCATTATAGCTGACTCAGTACATCAGATACTATCTAGCAAGGCACATTGTAAATAATTCACCCGTGAGTTTTAACATCATTATAAAGAGGCATTAAATAGTCAATAATTTTTCAGGTACTCGAGACAACTTATTTCCTGTAAAGACACATCTATAGGTACAATACTAACCTCCTCTTCATCATCATCTGAGCCAAACAGATCAACATCTTCATCATCATCATTATCGTCATCATTAGCTGGGGCAGGGGCATTAGTAAGAGGCTTTTTGACACCTGGGAACTTAGACTTCTCATTGCCAAAGGAAGTAATATGCTTATACCATCTCAAGGCATGTGCAAATTTTTCTGCAGGGGCTTTACCAATTCCTTCAAACACACTGACATCAGCCTGAGAGGGTGAGAAGCTGTAAAAGACCAAATACTTCATTTAGGTAACATACAATTATACAAATACTTAAGTAACATTTACCATTATGAACTTATAAATGCTAGACAGACCTGACTGATCGACCCCACCTTAATATTACTACAGTAGCTCATTTTTCCCAATACCAGCCTCTTATAACTCTTATGTTCTTATGACAGGTGCAGGAGTTGGACCTCTGCCAGACCTCCATTTCCCATTCCTAATTTTATATCAATTTATCCACATAGACATAAATAAAATAATATATACACACAGGATACATTATAACAGGTTTTTAGAATCATTATATAGTTAAAGGAATAATAGTTGCCTTAATATACCCTGACTAAACACATGGTCAGTAGCCTAACTTGAAACGTATTTTTCACCTTTATCAACGTACCCTTCGATGTAGCTCTTGTCCCCTAGATGGTCATTGAGGGCTTTAACACCAACATCACTCTTCAGGTTGCCGAAATTTGTCATTTTAATAGCTGTGTGTGTCTAAATACCAACACCCTGTGCACGGCCGTACCTCTCAGGCAACAGTTGGACGGCAAGAGACCAGATAACTGTTCGGATGAGATATATTGACTTTTATATTTAATAGTTTATTTTATATCTGTGAATACCCTAATATGCAAATTTGGTAGAATAATTATGTTTTAAGAAAGATTATTTAATATTATTGCTTATTTAGATGTAATTATTCAGTTATAGGAACATACACGTCGTTACAGTTGGAATCTAAAGCCGGAGTCATTTGGTAGTTCGAACATCGTTGCCTTGGGGAATGTCTGCATGGTTCCAAATGCCATTCAGATAGTGAATTAAAACAATATTATAACATGTTTGATATAATAAAGGAATTATTAAAAGCTTTTTTTTTTATGCTTTATTTTAATTCTAGACATTTATTAATTTAAGGAATAATATAATTGTGAATGTGTCCGTCAACTTCTCCCCCGGCTTGTTACCGGTTACATTTTTTAACTCATTTCACACATTAATTTTGTCTTATGTTTAGTCATATAAAACAAATGGAATTCTTGGTGGATTTAATAAAATAACGATGACCATCTTTACCCTAAGAAATGAAATAGGTCAGAGGTCACGTTCGTAGTTATTTTTCGACATTAACTACCATGTTTCGGCAGCATAATATAAAGAAATATAATGAAGTCTTTTATTATCGAATCATTAAGACCAATTAGAAGCTTATATTTTTAAATTAATTATAAAAGATATTATTTTCTTAATAAACTCCATATAGATCCATAAAGACAATAAAGAACTTCCATCTCATCTATACGCAATGATCCCTGGCCGCTGATTGGCTAAGAGCAGTTCTTTAGCTTTACGCAATGATCCCTGGCCGCTGATTGGCTTAGAGCAGTTCTCCATCTTGACTCTCAGCTGATTGTTGTTTTGGTAAGAGTCTCCACCAATACTTGTCTATTATCATGACTTATGGCTCATATTTATTAAACTCTCTTTATGTTTCACTTAAATTATATCACAGGTGTTATGATGGTGTATATATAAGGTAGACCGTGGTGGATAAAGGGTGTTATGGCCACCCGGTGTGTGTAATGGTCACTGGCCCTTGAGTATGATGATTTAACCCTTGAGTATGATGATTTAACCCTTGAGTATGATGACTTAACCCTCGAGTATGATGACTTAACCCTCGAGTATGATGACTTAACCCTTGAGTATGGTGACTTAACCCTTGAGTATGGTGACTTAACCCTTGAGTATGATGACTTAACCCTTGAGTATGATGACTTAACCCTTGAGTATGATGACTTAACCCTTATTTACATTATTGAATGGTGAATTAATTTATAGAGGTGTTTCTGTTTATTAGGAGGTTAGGTCTTGTATTTGCATATAAGACATTGCTAAGGGAAGAATCTTGTTTTTATCAGGAAATACAGGAAGTAGATGTTGGTAGTATTAAAGAGACAGTGTAGGAAGAAGGATACAGTATGTGGTGGAATAAAGTACTCTACTATATTGATAAGTGGTGTGGGTAGTACTAGAGACGGCTAACACCACAACTTGTTTAGTTTGGTGATTTTTTTTACCACATGTTCTTATCATTATAGTATTTTAATGGAGGTAACAACTTGTTATTTTAATTTTAAGTATTTTTTTGTCTATCTACGATCATAAGTCACCTGTAGTGGGCAGGGCATGAAGGAGAGGGAATTTGTGGGGTAAAACTTACTTGACACTAAAATGATGTCTGTACGTTTTTTGTACGTGAAGAAAATTATTTACCGTAAATACTTCTCTGAAAAATCTGCCGAGTCAGCTCGTGTTGTCATCGCTCTGTTTGTGTACAACGGACCCACCCGATCCGAGTTTACTCTCATGTCCACAAAAAATTTAAAATTACACCATGACGCTTCAACGAAGTTGCTTTCATTGATACCAGCTATCAAAATAAGTACAGTATTCTCTGTTTAACATGGCTGGGGTTATAGGCTAAAATTTGTAAAAACTTTAGGAGTAATACTAAAAATTTACAGAAAAAGAAAAATGAGATATTGTTCCGTACTTTGATGCAGATTAGCAGTGCCCAGCAGTCTGGACGTGCCCAGACTAGGGGCCAGAAAAGTGATTCTTTAGGTCCTTTTGCCCAGCGGACAAGTTAATGTTTTGAGAGTAAAATACCAACAGGAATTTGTCAGGTGTTGCGTGACCCAACCTCCCTGTAGTACGACCAGGCTGTGAGCGTGTGTGTTTGACCTGATGCCATATTGTGACATCACTGCTAAGCTGATCCCTCTTATTGGTCTATTCTCACACTGATCTGACCTGTAAATCAGTATAAAAGTTCCCACTGAGTGTTGTGTGAGACAGAGTTGTGCTACTAATTGAAATGAAAACATGAATAAGAATCAAGTAAAATTAACCGAGTAATGATGAAAGGCATTTAGACGGTCAAAAGTAATGAGTGAGGTGATGCACAATAAATTTGGTTGTTTTGAAATCTTAAAAAATCTTTATTTAACTTTTCCCATAAAAACTTGGCTAAAAAATTTCCTGTACAAGTAAAAAAAAAAAATATCCAGCCAAGTAAATTTCATAGATCAGTTCTGGGATAAGTAAATGTTCGACATAATCTGTACAGTACAGTACAGTACAGTACAGTATAGTATAGTATAGTATCTTTATTGATTGATTCATTTTGTGTGAGGGACTGAACATTTTTGTGCCAAGAACTGGAGAGAAATCTTTTCACAAAACTCAGAAACTTGGGGCGGCTCACAGTACACCATCTCTTATTTTATTGCACAAACAATATAGAAAAGAAACCTGAAATAAGGTCAAAAAACATTTTGTCTCATTATAGTTGTAAGCAGTATTATAAATGATGTAGCTACAGTGGACTAAAATACATACATATACTAAAAGATAGATACATATACATTAAACATTATAAAGAGAGAAGAGGTTAAATGTTAATGTGTTGACTTGACTTGATTGTAACAAATGGTAAATGTGAAGGAAATGAGACCACCCAGTTGTACTGATCTGACCATCATAGCTACACTACACTTTTATTTTTGGGGTACAAGTCTTTTACACTCACTGGCAGGTATGAAGAACCCATGTTTTTCCCTCACCCTCCTGCCAGTGTTTGCAAGTATCCACAGTAACCAGTCTGTTTTCATTCACTAGAGAGATGAATGGCTCTCTGTTCATCAATTTGTTTACAGTACGATAAGAGAACTTTTTGGATTTATTTCAGTAATGTATATTTGTGTGAGATTGTTGGGCTTATTGCTGGTCCAAGAAATTGTATTGTTTTAGTAATTTTTGCTGGATCAGTGTGCTGTTACTAATGGCTGTCAGTTTAAAGTACAATATTAATATTATACTATGTAAGTAGTATGACTTCATTAACTTGGACAAGTATACTGAAGAGTTTCCTGCTTCAGTACTGCTAAACTTTGTGTCTTTCAATAACAGAAGCACAATGCTGCGTATAGGAGCATCACGCCTGCTCCAGCATGGGGGCAGGCATGCTGCTGTGGTCAGTGCAGCACGTACCCAGTCGTCAGCACCGGACAAAATAGAGGTTTTCATTGATGACATGCCTGTTATGGTGCCACCAGGAACCACTGTGTTGCAGGTAAGTTCTGGTACAGGATGGTATAAACTGTACCTCCTGTATAGTTATGTTGGTATAAAAGGGTAGATAAACCTGTACTAACAGATTACATCTTTGTTCAGTTATGAGAATTTAAGTTCCATATACTTACAGGAGGTCCCCGACTTACGACCGAGGTTAAACTTGAAATTTACAATATTTTATTTACTTGATGACTTATTTTTTGCTTTCATTTACTGTATTTTGTCATTCTGTTTCTTCTTTAGTCTTAAATTAAATGATTTTAGATATATAAAAGGACTTAGGCTATGATATAGTGGGATTTTAAACATTGTTCTGACGGACGCACAAATCCGTCTTACGAACGTCCTCAGGAACGGAACACGTTCATACCAGTGGCTTGTCCAGGACATTTTGGATGGGGTGGCCAAGGTGGGGCACAGACCCAAAGGCTGAGGAATAATACACACACACTGAACAAGCTTTGTGTCTTTTATAGAGTTCCATGTACTGTACCTGTAGTTAATAACCATTTTGCTTCATACAGTATTGAAGTTTATTATTATTTTTTAACTGGAAGATGGTGATTTATTAAGCACCTTGGGAGATAATATGGTAGACCTGTTAGCTGTATTATCTAGTCTACCCTCTGTCTGTATTCAAGCTTTATGTAGGGATAACTCCTAGTTCAGCTTATGTATTAATTGATGAGTGCTATTGTACCAGTATACTGACCACACAATGATTTTTCCAGGCTGCTGCACAAGCTGGGGTGGAAATCCCAAGATTCTGTTACCATGAGAGACTGTCTGTGGCCGGCAACTGTCGCATGTGTCTCGTTGAGGTGGAGAAGTCTGTCAAGGTCAGTATTTTGTTATGTTACATATCTTAATTTATGTTTCTTGTGTGTAATTTATTCCTCTTTGGCTCATGCTAAGTCAAGAAGATTCATGTAGTTGCCCCGAGGTTCAGACTCGTGAACCTGAAGCATTTATGGACAGAATAATACTTCAGTGTCTACTGCTTCAGGTTATGTGAGTCTGAATCTCGGGGCTGGTGGTTCATGAAAGGAGAGAGTACTTTTGTGGGTAACTGTACAGGTTATATACAGCATGTCTAGTATCTGTCCTGAAGGTACAAAACATTAATACAGGGATTAACCCACCCTGGCAGTAGTACCTCCCTGTTTGTTACCTGCCTTCTACCTTGTACCTAATGACTTATTTTTCAATCTCATTTACTGTATTTTGTCATTCTATTTCTTCTTTACTCTTAAATTAGGTGAGTTTAGTTGTATATGAGGACTTAGGCTATGTTATAGTGAGATTTTAAACATTGTTCTGTGAGTACGATATGCACATTGGGTAGGTGTTTCGACTTGAGGACATTTTCGACCCAAGAACGTCCATAGTATCTGAACTCGTACTTAACCCCGGGATTGCTTGTGTAGACTGTATAAGGAAGAGTTGGTTCTTCATTAAAGCTGTTGAAAGTCTAGATGATGACACTTCTCACTCAAGCTCTACTCTCTCACCTGTATAAATTACTGTACTTTCAGCCTGTAGCAGCTTGTGCCATGCCAGTGATGAAGGGCTGGCGCATCAAGACCGACAGCGAGATGACACGCAAGGCTCGCGAGGGTGTCATGGAGTTCTTGCTTATCAACCATCCACTAGACTGCCCCATCTGTGATCAGGGAGGAGAGTGTGACTTGCAGGTAAGGTGATGAATGATGTACAGTGGTCCCTCGGTTAACGAATTACCTTCAATAAGAATCTTCAATTCGTTTAACGAAAAAAATTCAATTAATGAAATTCTTACAAAAATCACGCTTTGTTTTGAACATCAGCTGATAAGCTGAGGAGGTACTCAACCAATTCAGTAATCTCTACTATGTTTACATTCGTTTCCAATGGAGTAAATATAAAGAAAATTGTGCTCTTTAATATTTGTGCATTTTTTATACAGTACAGTATTAAAATTATTGGTCATTCTAAAATTTAGCCATCCAAGCTGTCTACATAAAGTTTTTCAACTATTATTTTTGGCTCGATATATGTAACTTTATTCATTTATTGAAACTCACTTACATGCACACACTGTCCTAAGGGCAAAGCTGAACTGTACATGTAATCAGAATAATGTACAAAATGAGTACTAAAATTTTTGTCTAGTGCAAACTATGGCATGTTTACATTCAAATTAATCACTATCTTATAAGAATTCCAGCTATGTAAATTATATTCTCTCCGGGCATATCTATGGAATTTTATGAGCAAAAAGAAAAACTATTAAATACTCCCCCTTTTCCCTCCCTCCCTCCCTCCCTCCCTCCCCCTGCACCTGCCTCAGACAAAGGTTTGGGGGTTTTCACTAGGCTTACAGTTTTAATCATATATAATATCTCAGACTAAAGTTAGGAGAATATAATTTGCATTGCTAGATTCCTTGCAAGACAGCGAATAATTTGAATATAAACGTCATTTTTTTTGCACAAGATATAAAATTAATCGCCTGTATCACATTACAGTAATGATTTGAGAGCAAGAGTGTATATGTACGTATATATATATAGTGATTTAAGGGCGATTTAGGGGAATTTTAGGAGTGTTTCTGACTTTATGCATTTTTGGCTTTACTTTGTATATACTTTTCTGTGAGCTGGAATCAATTACCCAATATCCCATTGAAACAATGATTTTGGTTAACGAACGACCCTCTGGAACAAATTGAGTTCGTTAACCGAGGGACCACTGTATTTGTCCAGAATTTCCCCATTGTTGAGAGAAAGTTGGACTGACTTTGTTGCAATACATTATCTCAACATTACTGTAGATGTGAGACATACTGTACTGTATACAAGAATGACTAGTTTAGTTTATTCTTTGCTTTTGTGAATTTGGGGAACTTTTGCCAAATGATGACATTTACAGACGTTATTGTTAATTTTCAAGGGTAAACTTGTGGTTGTAATATTCATGTGATGTGAGTGTCTGTTAAGGCACAACCAGAGTTTCTATTGAATGTTCCTTTCCCATTGCACTATTACATAGGGTCACATGTGTTACCCCAAGTTATGATATTAAATTTCTTTATCTTCAGGATCAGTCGATGGCCTTTGGTTCTGATCGGTCTCGCTTTTTGGAGAACAAGCGTGCTGTTGAGGACAAGAACATTGGTCCCCTTGTTAAGACAATCATGACGAGGTGTATCCATTGTACACGATGTGTTCGCTTTGCAACAGAGGTAAACGTTGTTTTTTATTTTACCAAAGTTGTGTAATATATCTCCAAGTGTAAAATAAAAATTATTCTAATAGAAACTTAGTAAAGAGAAATGTAGTATTATTTGAGTTTAACGAGTGACCTGGTGAGATTGTGTCATGAAGCAGCTGTAGGGAGAACCCACCAGATACCCATAGTCTAGGTTAGGTTAGGTTTTTGATAGGACACAATTCCTGCAAATAATGTTTATGCTGTAAACCAGAGGCTGGATCTCTCGGCAGTAACGGAAAACAGATCAGAAATTTTCAGTACAGCTTAATGGCGTTGTGAAGCCTTAAATGATAAAACACATTTGCCTCTCCATTCAGATTGTTAGTTGCAGCCATTGTATCAGAGGATCGACATGTCCTGCTGTTATAGCAGACAAGTGTTAAGAATTTGTACCAACAGTCCCTGTAACCATTTGAACCACCACTAAACCAAGCATCGTACTAGACCGTGTGGTACATGGCTCACACTAACTCGGGACAGTTGTACAGTAATCAAACAGCCGGTGTTGATCTAAGTCTTGTAAGATGTGAATTTTAATTGGTTGATGTGGTCCTGAGCTCCTTGTCAGAGATGCTATATTTTACCTGTACTTGGCTTATAATGTTTGAATTTCTGTTATATTACACTATTATGTTTACTGTTGTATTGTTCCTCTTTTATTTCTTATTTCTCTGTGATTATTTACAATATATACATCATTTACAATACTTGTGACTAATGGGATAAATTACTGATATGAGTATTTTTTTTTTTTTTTAGGTAACAATTTTTGGATCGTGAATGTTGAGTCACTTACACACTAAAAAACACATTATTATTATCTCTATATAGTACAGCAGTTACTCCCACATACCACCGTAATCAGCACCTCAATACATTAGTGGGAGCATTCCACCATTACACACAGCATCATTACTCAAGCACAGACCAGGTTAGGTTCCCTGGTGCCCTGCTTGGTGTTTTAGGATATTCACCACCATATCACATCTCAGGTTCCACACCTTGTTAGCCACTGGTTTAAAGAGGGAGTAGCTGTTTTATGCTGTTTTAGCTTTATTCTGCTTAGGACATTTACACTGAACCAGAACACGTGACCCCTTGGACCCGATAGATTATGCGTTGGGTCTGGGGAATCAAGCAGGTCACTGGACTTTTTCCTTTGGCTATTACATGTGATTTCCAGATTCAATCCTTCATATTATTTGTTGCTTTAGTTTTTATTTTTTTTATATATATCTTAAAATGGTGAAAGTTTCTCCTGTTACATTTAATTGATCCTCTGACCAGATTGCCGGCGTGGAAGACCTCGGTACGACCGGACGAGGGACTAATATGGAGATTGGGACTTACGTGGAGAAAATGCTGTTGTCCGAGTTGTCCGGCAATGTGATCGACCTCTGCCCTGTTGGAGCTCTCACCTCCAAGGTATGTGTGGTGGTGTAGGGATTCTATTTCTCATCTGTGCTTCCTTCCCTTCCTTTCCCTTCCCTTCCCTTCCCTTCCCTTCCCTTCCCTTCCCTTCCCTTCCCTTCCCTTCCTTTTCAAAGTTGTAAGCTCTATATGTTCCCTGTATCCCCAGATAGTGTAATGCAAATTCTTCAAGTCACAAATGCCAGATAAACTAAATCTCGTTCTTTGTACATTTTAACGTGTACATCTTTAAATAGACCTTTACAGTTAGTTTGGCAGGTCAGGAGAATACTCATAGCCACTTGTGTACAGGGTCCCCTCTCTACTTAATAAAATCATCTGGTGTTAGACAAATATAATAGTCAAAGTAGTGTCCTCATAGTGAAGGGGTTAAGCAGTTGATTTTATGCATGTTTGATGACTTTACAGCATTTAGCTACATCCCTTTTGATAATTCACTAACTTACACTTCTCTCCCTATTTTTCTTTCACCATTTTTGCTCGCTTGTCTGTAAAAAAATAGCGGCTAAACTAACATTGCAACGTTACGCAACTTTGTCGTAGTTTTGCCTCCTAGTCCTTACTTCACTTTATACTCCTGATGAACACAATGGACAGCATTTGGAAGTTTCTCATTTATTACATATATTTCAGCACTTCCAACTTAGCGTTTGTATCTGTTTTGTCATATTATTTCTAATTCCATGAATGCCACAAAAAATATTCTTCCAGTTCTTCATATGCTTTCCGATCATATTCTTCAGTGTGAGAACTTTATCCAACTTTATCCATTTATCCTCTTAACCAACCTTACTCTTAACTAATAATTAATCAGTGGCTAAGTCTTCCCCAGTCCCCTTCCCCATGGACAAATCATAGAACACAGATGGACTTGAAACTTCCATAGATGCCTGGCTGCTGTCTCTGCAGATACTTTCCACCAGTGATGGCTGCTGTTTAAGGGTTAATACAGGTTAATACACTTTCCATGGAATACTGGACTCAGAAAACATTCCTGTATGCTTTCATTTATTCATATCACCTTTCCTTTCTTACAGGGGAACTAACTAAACATTGTCTGTCATTCCTGTGTCACCCATCACTCCATCACACATAGCCTCAATGTTTTGTCGTCCACTCTAACACTCATCCAACGTCTTTACCATTTCAAAGGTTCAGTCCATTTACTCCTGATGCTTTACCATTATTGAGCTTATACACTCACCTCTATCTTTCTTATTTCCTTTTCCTCTTATAGACACTGTTTAATCCAGCCTCAATATTTCAGCCCTATGCATTTACTGCGCGTCCCTGGGAAATTCGCCGCACTGACTCGGTGGACGTGATGGATGCTGTTGGCTCTAACATTGTTGTCAACCATCGCACAGGAGAAGTACTAAGAATCTTGCCCCAAGTGAATGAGGTAAGTTAATCATAATCTGTTGATGTAAGCTGAATAATAATGAATGTTTAAAAAAAAAAATTCTCAATGGTTTGAGATTTTAAGAATGTTTGAATTGTGTTTGTAAACAGGACATCAATGAGGAATGGCTGTCTGACAAGTCCCGCTTTGCCTATGATGGTTTGAAGCGGCAGCGCCTTGTGTATCCCATGGTGAAGGACTCTGACGGTGAGCTGCGTCCCTGTGAATGGGAGGACGCCCTTATTGTGGCGGCCAAGGCACTGAAAGCAGCAGATGGTTCTGTTGCTGCTATTGCTGGAGGTAAGATAACTGATCTTCTCATCATAATTGTTGAAAAATATATGTTACCATCCATACCTATTGTAATGTCTAGTTGAAGTAGTACATACAGTTAACCCTGGTCATCCTTTGAAGCTTTACACTGGCAGAAGTAAGGTGGTCGTCATTTTCCCATTGATAAAGTTTATTACTGACGGATTCATGTACTGCACCACCATTCCTCAACCCAGTCCTGGCTGAGTCAAGTGTGAGAAGAGCATTGTCCAGTGAATCCTTACCACACACGACCGGTTCTCTTCAGGCATATAACACACAACGGGACCTTTACGAGACCAGTTAGTCATTACTATAATAGAGCTGTACACTCACTCCAGTCTCACTATATAATCAATGTCATATTATAAACCTTCAGATTGTCTTCTCAGGATTTGTTTTTTCTCCGTTCTATTCCCTTTCCTTTGTTTATTGTATGTTTGCTGTCTTTGTTTATTTTACTTTCTCTGTACGTGGCTGCTGAAGAAAACCCTAATCCTCTTTTACCCAATGTTGTTTTACTGCACATGACAGACAGCTGGTTCATTGTGTAGTCGTCAGAGAAGTGTAAAATTATACCACTCATGTGTAAAATTATACCACTCATGTGTAAAATTATTCACTCAAATGTTTGTAGTGTTTCAGAAATATAAACAATGTAATTATTTTATTTATTTATTTTTTTATTTTTTTATTTTTTTTTTTGTGAAGCATTGAAAATACTGTTGACATCTGTTGAGAGGAAGAGGAGTTTGTTGTTATTGGAAGTTTTGGGGAGGGAAGGGAGTGATTACTGAACTACATGGTGGGAGGAGAGGTCACAGTGGGTCATTTATCGATCACACTGAGTACAGATAGTTTTTGAGTGACTGTATTTCAGACTTTTGTATTTGACCTTTTTGAAAATTATTTGTATTAAGGTTTTTTCCATAGCATCTGTGTGTTGTACTGGGATACCACTTACGGTTATTTATTTATTTATTCTCTTATCATTAGGCCTGGCTGATGCTGAAGCTCTCGTTGCACTGAAAGACTTAGTCAATGGTCTTGGTGGTGAGTCTACCTGCACTGAGGAGGTAAGGAAGGCATCAATCTGGTCTAGAGGCTCAGGTACAGTCTGGGGAAAAGTCATGTCAGTCCGCCACCCTGTCCACGAACCCAGAAACTCATGAACCTGTGAATTCGAGACACGACACAGTACGCCGTTTATGGGAGCCAATGATGAGTAATGTCCCGGGTTGAGTGGTTCATGGACTGGGTGAAGGACTGCCAGAACCCTTTTCCCTGACAGTACATATGTTTAATTGAGCCAATATTTTTCTTATATTATTTAAGATATTTTTTTTTTTAATGTATTTCAGAAAGCTCTATTATTAATATGCCATTGATTTTATAACTCAATATAGTCGTCACATTTAAAGATCATAATCTCAGACCCCAAGAAAAGAAAAATGGACTGTGACATTCTACCCACTTAATTATTTCCACAGACTAATGTAAGATACTGTTTCTTTATGTAGGTCTTCCCGGACGCTGGGACTGGCACCGACCTCCGCTCCTCATATTTACTAAATACGAAAATTGTCGGCGTCGAGGAAGCCGACATGATCGTTTTTGTCGGCGCTAACCCCCGATTCGAAGCTCCGCTGTTCAACACCAGAGTTCGTAAGGCGTGGACGTATAACGAACTTCATGCCGCCATGATTGGACCAGACGTGAATTTGACGTATGATTGTGAGGTAAAGAAATAGATAATACAGTTTTTCTTGAGGGTGCAGTGTGGTGTAGAGAGAAGAGTGTCTGTGTTTGGAAGGCTTACATGATAGGTCTCAGTGGAATTATGGTTGGTATTAGTACATTGATATTCTGGGTAATTTATAAATGTTACCTGATAATTTAGAATAGTTATCATTTTAGATTATGGTTAACATTAGCATAACAATGTATTATAATGTGTAGTAAAATTACTGGGGATGCTAATTATATATTTGTTTCAGCACTTAGGAGACGACGCTTCCATTATTGGGAAACTGTTAGACGGCTCGCACCCATTCTCACAGCGCCTCACTGCTGCCAAGCGGCCAATGATCGTAGTTGGAACTTCCCTTCTGGCTCGCCCGGATGGTGATGTTCTATATGCTCAGCTTCTGCAACTGTCGCAAAAAGTAAGCAGCATTTGTATCTCTGCTTCTGTTGTCATGTCATCTTAAGAGACAGATTCGCTCTACTAATTCACCCTGTATTATGTGAGCTGCCTGGCTGTCGGGTCATTGTGCGAACTGAAAGTTGGGGATAACCTCAGCTGTGACGTCATGATATTTCATGAGGTTAAGCACACTCAAACGGGTCACCTCGCTAGTTGACAGACCTCGTAGGGGAAGGCGGGGTCATGCAGCACGTGACAAATTCCTGTTTGGGTGTTTTCCTCTTAAATTATCAACTTTTCTGCCGAGCACATGGCCATGAAAAGCTACTTGTTTGGGCACGGCTGTGCTGCCAGGCACTGCTAATCTGAGCGGTCTGCCTTATTTTTATAACCTACTTTCACTATTTTAGGTAAGTGCTGAAAAATATACTGTACTGTTTAATCATCAAAATTCATTACAGTACAGTAATTATTATTGTACTGCAGCATAGAATGACATTGTATTTTCAGTTATTATTTTATCCATTCCTGTTGTGATTGTTGCAGTTGCGCAGTAGTTGTGAAGGTGGATCAGAGTGGCGAGTGTTTAACATTCTTCATCGAGTAGCCTCACAAGTGGCTGCCCTCGACCTTGGCTACACTCCGGGCGTGGCTGACATACGCAACAATCCTCCCAAGGTGCTGTACCTCATGGGTGCCGACGAAGGAGCTATTACTCGTGAAGACCTTCCCAAAGATACACTTGTTATCTATCAGGTTAGTTCCCTCTTGAACACTGTTATGAGGTGTTTACATGCAGTGTGTTAGAAAAGTCCCTCTGCATCTCTAGTTATTTACCTTTTTCTACTTACAGTAATTATTGGAAATGGTCGCAGTAAGTGTTGGAAGCTGATGCCATTCCCAATATTTACTGTAAGTATAACAAGGTAATATAACAAGGATGAACATTGTGTAGTAGAGTATAAATGTTTCTCTGTGCATCATTGGTGGCCATCTTGACCACGTGAGAGCTAAGAGTTCACTTCCTTCACAGAAAAAGGTTTGTCAGCATGTGGAACAATTATGTTTATCAATCATACATATCTCAGGGGATGACTGTACTATGACTCCTGTAGGGACACCATGGAGACCAGGGAGCAGAGATGGCAGATGTGGTCCTCCCCGGTGCTGCCTACACCGAGAAGACTGCTACTTACGTCAACATGGAGGGACGAGCCCAGCAGACACAGGCTGCCCTGGTCCCCCCGGGCATGGCTCGTGAAGACTGGAAGATCATCCGGGCACTCTCAGAGGTGGGGTATTGAGTTTCATGGTGTCCTGATTGGTTTAAATTTTAATCCCTCTGGAAGGTTCACTAAACTTTTACTTCACTCTCTTTACTTTCCAGATTGTGGACACGAGACTTCCCTATGATAAACTAAATGACATTCGTAATCGCCTGGCTGAAGTGTCGCCCAATCTTACACGCTATGGGGACGTAGAAGAAGCGAACTACTTTGCACAGGCCACAGCTCTTGCCGAGGTGAGAATATGTCGTCATCGGGAGAACATACGATTTTGGTTGAGCTCATTAAGGTTTATGTTTACAAACTATACAAAAATATAATGTAGGTTTATCAGGAAGGGTGTAGATTATTTTAGTGCTTGATGCCTGGCTGTGGTGACTCGAGTATCATCTGAGCAGACTATTGCCTGAACATCCATGTATCCCAGGACTCCCAGCATTGTTGACTTACACTAATTCTAAAGTTAGTCGACCTTGCTATCACAATCATATCTCCTTAATAACACATAAATATGGGAGGCAAGAGATACTTCTTTGGGCCAGTAGTCTTCACCATCACACTATCAGGTTCACCTCTCGTCCCATGTGTACAGTTGCCTGCACTTACACCTGGTACAGTGGCTGGTGCATTTTGTGAGATGTGGCAACTCTGTGGAATGCTTACCTAGTCTGGCTGCTATTGTGAGTTTCTTTAGAGGCCATTCCTGGAGTTTTAATATGATGTAAACAAACACAGAGTTGCCACAGAACACACCGGGTATAAGTGCGGGCGACTGTTCCTGCTTTGTTCCAGCCCTGTTAGCTGCTGCCTGTGGACTATGGCTTGGTGATAATTCTCTATGTGCTTCCCTGCTTATGATTTTGGACATACAGTACATGTACACTCACCCCAAAAAGTATCTTCACAGAGGGTGATCGATGAGTTCCACAATGAACACCGTGACTCCTGTTGTCTCGGTCGGGTTGTCAGAATCCTTCGTCCGTTGTGTCATAATGTCTGGCACAAAAACATAAAGATACTTTTTGGAGCGAGTGTATTTTAGTGACATGTAGTGTAAATAATAATTCATTGTTTGTGAACTGTTTTTTGTAAATTTTAATATCTTTTTTTGTTTCCTTCCATCAGATGGTAAGTGGGAAGAAGGGAGCAGCACCTATTGATGTCCCTCAAAAGAAGCTTGAAGACTTCTACATGACCAACTCCATTACCCGAGCTTCTCCCACAATGGCCAAGTGTATTGCAGCAGTTAAGAAAGAAGCAGCCAATAAATACATTGAATAACGGTTCTGTTCGTGTAGATTATAGTGGGTGAGCTCTGCAATAGGTTATATATTGCTTGGAGGCTTGTATAAATAAGGTTTATTTCAACTCAAGCAGAATCAATGAAAACACTTCCAGTAAACTACAGTAGTTGCCAGATCATATAGATTCATATTTATGTTTTGCCTGAGACAGAACTAGCAGTTTAGAAACAATATGATGTGTTTTGTTATAAGTTAAAATACCTTTCAATTTTTCTGAATTGCTAGCTGTGTCTCGGCTGCTGTCATCCTTTTTGTAGATGATCTGAAAATATTATCACTTAAAATTGTTGTAGCTACAAGAATTGCCATTAGGAACCTTGTTATCCCAGCACCACATTGACCTGCAGCTTCTCTGGGAGATATTGTACAGATGTCTATATTTTATTTGTATAGTTTATCCTAAAATAGGAATTTATAAATAGTGTGTGATTTCAGTATCCTCCTTTTGTTTGTAACCGAGGGATGACAAGCGTGCCAGTACTCAACTCTTAATGCCAATCATGACAGTAATAAATAAACATAAACCTGCTTTAATAAACCACATACACACCACATGAGTGAATGTCACAAGAAACTGTGAGTGATCAAAAGAAAGGAACCCGACATACTGTACTTGGGTTCAGAGCTGGTAGCCTGAACGTAGGTAAAGTATATTAAATGGAAGAAGAGTGAAATTGTGGATACATTGAGCCATACAAAGTGCTATGTCTGCTGTGTGCAAGAAACAAGTTGGAAAGATGATTAAACCATAAATGTCAGGATTGCCTGGAGATGATATGCTTCTCTTGTCCCTCAATATGGAGATCATCTATATCTTGGGGATTTTTCTGCTCCATGTTTTCTTAAGCTTGGCATCTGATTTCTGCTCGAGTATTTTATTGTCACGTGTCAACTTTTCCATATACTTTTGGTCCCTCCCTCCAGTGGTGTGTCTTGCTGAAAGACCCCTGGCTGCAGTAGTGATGCTTTAACACCCTAGAAAAATAAGTGGAATATGATGAGATCAGAGAGTGATGGTGAGATTGATAAGCCGAGTAAATCCAGGAGTGATAGTACATAGAGACCAGGAGGAAAGTGAGGTATCTCCAAACATGTGTACCAGGTAGGAGTGCATTACCAACATGTGCCCGAGATGTTTGTGGTGCAGAAGATGGGAGTCATGGCGATGAGAAAACTAGAAACATTCCGTGGCAGTGAGAGGGTCAAAATAATGGCTGTCCTACTGAGTGCGGGTAACAAGCTGGACGAAGGACCCAGCAGGAACATGTACAGAGCGATAAAGGAGACGAGAAGATTGTACAGGCAGTCTCCGAGTTACAAACGGGTTACATTCCTGGACCCTGTTGGTAAGTCGGAACTGTGTTAATTCCATAGGTTAGGTTAAAGCACAACCCTGCCCTCACAAAACAACAATAATATCCCAAGCATAAATAATAATGTAAACACTGTAAATAAAGTTATGTTAAACAATATAGAATAATATAATAAATTTAAAAAGTGGGATTTTAGTTGCAGATTATTGTGATGAATATATTGGGATCCCGTTCGTCAGTGTGGGTGTTCATAACTCGGGGACTCCCTGTATAAGGCCTGGAAGATAGTGGTTACAAGGAGTACCTGGAGGTCAAGTACAGGTCCAGAAGAAAGGTTTACAGGGCTAAGAAGCACATTCGCAGACAGTACTGTATTCTGAACAGTGAAGATGCGAGAGATGAAATGTTCAGAATGCCCGGGCAAATAGTGAGTAGAATATAATGTTGGTGAGCAGTGTGTGAGAAATAACTACTGTAATGTGATTGTTTATAACGAGGAAATCAAGGATGACCGGAGAATATACTGTAGTATGGTCAACTACTGAATGAGGAGTACAAATGGGACAAGGTCAGTAGAACCAGTACACGGACAATACCTAAGGACTGAAAGAGAACGGATGAAGAAAACTATTGACAAAATGAAGAATGAAAAGGTGCTGGAAGGTCTGGGGGACTGAATTAAGTAATACAATCATGATGGAATGTGCTGTACCAGATAACTGTTGGAAGAGTGTGATGTGAACACTTACAAGGGTAAAGGTGATGCACTTGAATGTGGAACTACAGGGGCCTGAAGTTGTTAGATCAGGCTATGAAAGTTGTAGGAAGAGTGATTGACAAATTTATAAGAGAGGATATAAACAAAATGCTGTCTGGATTTATGCTCGGTAGAGGTACTACAGAGTCAATATTTATGGCTAAGCAACTACAGACTAATATCTTGAAAAGGAAAGAAGGTTGTAGTTTGTAGAATTAGAGAAGTATTAAAGTGGGCAATAAGAATGTTAAGAGTCAAGCAGTGACTTTTTTGAGTAATTTACTTAATGGCCAATCACTACAGGTAGCCATGCCGAGGGAAGGAAGCCAGTGGCCTGTGTAAGATCCCTCCATTGTTCTTGATAATTTTACCTTGGGCCATTTTGAAGCCCCAATACTGTTCTTGATTCCACTGGTCGACTGTTCCATAGGTCTACCACCCTCTGTGTAAAGTTTGTTCAGCATGATAACTTGGCGAGCTTGTCTTGTCTTTTCGTGTTGGTGGTGCGTGACATCACAAAACAATGGCCCATATTCCCATTTTCCATCCTACTTTAGGTTTTGAATGTCTATGAGATCTGCCTTATTGTGTCTTGTCTGATGGCATCCCTCAGAATATGGGATGTTAGGCTGATCGACTTGTAGTTTTCTGCTGCACTTTTCCTGCCATTCTTTTTATACAGGGGTGATGTTGGCTGATTTCCAGTCCCTAAACACATTATTGAGGCTCAAACCTTTGTGTGAGTAAATAGTAAGGAAAAGGGGAATTTGAGGTGAAAATCTTAGCATGGGTGAGGGACCCATGGCAGAAAGTGGAAAATGTCCATGTTCTGTCTGTAAGAAAGGTGTTGGCAGTAACTCAATAATGTGCAGTGGAGTAGAAGGCATAGTGCAGGATGTGCAGGTAACCATGTGTCCATAGCAAGGCTAGAGAAAACATTTGGGACATGTCCCTGGACTGTCGATGAGTTCTGTTACTGGTGCCTGTGATGCAGATAGGCCACCACTCAGGCTGGTCAACCACCAGGACTGATGGCTGCAAGTCGTATTTCTTGAGAAGGTCCTTGGAGTGGTGGTCTCTGAACATTTTCTGCTGGCCGCCAGTGGATCCATTGCATTGATGGAGTTGGCCGTACAGTGAGGTAGGTGGTATTCTGATGGTGTGCTCCAGCCAGCCGAGTTGTCAAGGATTGCTTAAATGTTTGTGGTTTGTTTATGGCAGAAAATTTTGTCAAAGGTCAGACAAGCTTCCCAAGATAACTCCAAGATCCACCGTAGACACTTAGGTGGAACGCTTCTAGGGACCTAATATGACGACACTGATGACCGGCTGAGTGTGGTGATGGCTGAGTGTGGTGATGGCTGAGTGTGGTGATGGCTGAGTGTGGCGATGGCTGAGTGTGGTGATGGCACAATGTGGTGATGGCTGAGTGTGGTGATGGCTGAGTGTGATGATGGCACAGTGTGGTGATGGCTGAGTGTGGTGATGGCACAGTGTGGTGATGGCTGGGTGTGATGATGGCTGAGTGTGATGATGGTTGAGTGTGGTGATGGTTAGTGTGGTGATGGCTAGTGTGATGATGGCTGAGTGTGGTGGTGATTTGAGTGTGGTGATGGCTGGGTGTGATGGCTGAGTGTGGTGATGGCTGAGTGTGGTGATGGCTGAGTGTGATGATGGCTGAGTGTGGTGATGGCTGAGTGTGGTGATGGCTGAGTGTGGTGATGGCTGAGTGTGGTGATGGCTGAGTGTGATGGCTGGTGGTGATGGCTGAGTGTGGTGATGGCTGAGTGTGGTGATGGCACAGTGTGGTGATGGCTGAGTGTGGTGATGGCACAGTGTGGTGATGGCTGAGTGGTGATGGCTGGTGTGATGATGGCTGAGTGTGGTGATGGCACAGTGTGATGATGGCTGGGTGTGATGATGGCACAGTGTGATGATGGCTGAGGTGTGGTGATGGCTGAGTGTGATGATGGCTGAGTGTGGTGATGGCTGAGTGTGGTGATGGCCGAGGTGTGGTGATGGCTGGAGTGTGATGATGGCTGAGTGTGGTGATGGCACAGTGTGATGATGGCTGAGTGTGATGATGGCTGAGTGTGATGATGGCTGAGTGTGATGATGGCTGAGTGTGATGATGGCACAGTGTGATGATGGCCGGGGTGTGATGATGGCTGAGTGTGGTGATGGCTGAGTGTGATGATGGCTGAGTGTGATGATGGCTGAGGTGTGGTGATGGCTGAGTGTGATGATGGCTGAGTGTGGTGATGGCTGAGTGTGGTGATGGCCGAGTGTGTGATGATGGCTGAGTGTGGTGATGGCTGGAGTGTGATGATGGCTGAGTGTGATGATGGCTGAGTGTGGTGATGGCACAGTGTGATGATGGCCTAGTGTGATGATGGCTGAGTGTGATGGCTGAGTGTGGTGATGGCTGAGTGTGATGATGGCACAGTGTGATGATGGCTGAGTGTGATGATGGCTGAGTGTGGTGATGGCCAGTGTGGTGATGGCCAGTGTGATGATGGCTGAGTGTGATGATGGCTGAGTGTGATGATGGCCGAGTGTGATGATGGCTGAGTGTGATGATGGCTGAGTGTGATGATGGTTGAGTGTGATGATGGCTGAGTGTGATGATGGTTGAGTGTGATGATGGCTGAGTGTGATGATGGCAGAGTGTGATGATGGTTGAGTGCGGTGATGGCCGAGTGTGATGATGGTTGAGTGTGATGATGGCTGAGTGTGATGATGGCCGGAGTGGTGGTGGCTGAGTGTGGTGATGGTTTGAGTGTGTGATGTGATGGCTGAGTGTGATGATGGCTGAGTGTGATGATGGCTGAGTGTGGTGATGGCTGAGTGTGGTGATGGTTGAGGTGTGATGATGGCTGAGTGTGATGATGGCTGAGTGTGATGATGGCTGAGTGTGGTGATGGCTGAGTGTGATGATGGCTGAGTGTGATGATGGTTGAGCTTTTTCAACTCATGGCTCCTCCAAGTCCACACTAGAACATAATTTCAGCGGGCGACTCTGCCCTCGTGGGTGGACTGTCAATGACCATTTTGAGACGGTCTGGTTTGATGTAAGAGTCTTCTCACAAGGCGATATTCACTTAACCTGGAGATTAATGATCCTTAACACACGCCTCAATCACTCTTCCCCCACATTGTTGTTAAGTGTGAGAAGAGGCTATATGGTAACCGTCATTGTGCAGACAGTAAGGGTGAGAACGTCGTGTTGGCAGACCTTGGTTTGAGTCTTCCTGTTGGTGAGAGGCGTCAATTGTGGGTGTAGATCATGATATTTATACAAGGTTTATAAACCCTCGTCATCACGGGTGGGGTGCAGGTGTTGGGTATTCC